CTTAGATTTTCATGCTTGTCTTATAAAACGAAGGCTAGATCAGTGAATGTTTGAGACTATTTTTTTTTCTACTTTATTCTCGTACAAAGCACATATAATCTGCTATTGACCGTAATAACGTTTTCATTGTTATCATCGAACTCAACGTGACCGAGACAAGCACATATCGCTTGCGAAGTAACACAAAGTACATATCGTATTGCAATAACTAACATGTCATATCCTTAAATAATTAGGAACTTTAAAGATATCAGATTCCTTTTGTAAAATCAGAAATTCCAGGGCTTTTAGTAAATATATTTGATGTATAAAAGGGTTTGTTTCATTTCTATGTATCGATAAATGAAGACGAAATTCACAAAAACATGTTTGAAAATTACCCCACATCAAAAATGCTGTTACTGACTTTTTACAATCAACCGACGAAATAGAGAATCGTGTTTTTATTGATAATTATATAATGCAAATATCAATATACGATTTGATAATTTTTCTTCATATTTGTATCGTTTTTAACCGATTCCCGGATCTACGAGGGGGCTTTCGGGTCAAAAAATTCCCCTCCTCCCAAAAAATGGTATAATATAACCACGTTTTATGAAAAAAAATTATCTCTAAAAGTATTATTGTTTACCTAATTACATTTAATAGGACTTCAAGAATCACTTAAACACAATTTAATAAAGGTAGTTAGTTTCTTTCTTTCTTCCGAAGTAATTAGTCTAATATATACATACAAAATAATCTTTCGAGCTTAAGACCTCTCCCCCAAAATGAAATCCTGGATCCGTTAGTGGGTCCGTATGCTAGTGAGAACTACTAGTTGCTGATTCACACAGCCCACTGCGATGGGAGACTTTAATAATCCAATTATAGCTAACAATCATAGTTTTGAGTATCTATTGTTTTATTTAGAATCCAGGCAATTTAATTTGAAGACTCATTTCAGAGAGGTCTTGCGTATTAACACATCGTCACCTTAGTAATTTAGAGTTTGAGTTCGAATCAGGTCTGGGTGGGTTGAAAATTATTTCGTGACTGACTAATAACATAAATTTGGACCTTCCTATTCTGCGTAGAATAGTTCGGTTACCTGTAGGATTAACCCCTCATCATATGCCGGAAATGGCGCCAGACAGGATTAAAAGAAAAAAAATTAAAATTTGTATCGTTATGTTTGCTAATAAGTAAAATATTTGGTCAACAGTTAGTAAAAAATTATAAGAATGGACGTTTTTTCTCTTTATGCTGAGATAATTTACTTTAATTATGCGAATTTAAGATAAATCATTGTGATTTCTTGTGAGCCGTTTTAAAAAAATCGACGATAGTTAAAACATCAATAAGACGTTATAAATTTACTTTTTAAATTCCGTATCACTGATAGAACTTATAATGCAAGGGTACTCAGAAGAGAATTGCATGGCAAACTTCCTCCATCAAATTGTTTGAGAGGAACTCATGGTTTTTTTTAATTTTTTAGATGGCACATCTTTACGTGAATGAATTTTCGATGGAACCATATTTTTGCGGTGTTCCGATTCGGAGAAACGTTCAAACCAGATAACAAGGAGAAACGCGGGACAGACCACAGCAAGTATAGTTGTGTATGATCTACATTTTTTATAATTCTACTTTCGCTTACATTGGTTAAAGAAGAGGGGAGCAAGTGACCAAAACAGTGTGGCCTGACTCATTAATATTTAAAAAATAAGTGAAAATAAAGCGTATAGGAAAAGAAGATATATAAAGTAATTAAAACAACAAAACTACATTAAAATTAATAAATAAATTAATGAAAAAGATAATAATGATAAGTATTTGGAAAAAAGAACTAAAATGAACTATGGGAAATATTAGGAATGTTTAAAGTATTTTTATTTATAATTGAAACAATAATGACAATAATAAGATACTTAATGAATTAAGGCTGCTAAAATAAAAATAGAAATAATAAAAGTAATTTGACAGTCTATTATAATTATACAGACTTTGTTGGTAATAGTTGGTAAGATTTAATCTAAAAATAATACTCGGGGGTTTAACTTGATTCCCCCATATTTGATAATACTCCACACTGAAGTAAAATTTAATATTTAATGATGCAAACAATGCAAATATTAATGATCGAGAAACATAAATAATTCATTGTTGCTAGAGCGTTTTAAGGTGAGGTATAAATAAATTAAGGCTGCATCATCTTCACTATAACTTTTATTTCATTATTTCATACAAATTTTCTGCCTGACATGCCAATAGGTACGTTCTATAATTTACTCATAATTAGTTTTGTTGCATTACTATTCAATGTCATATACCCACCTGTACTAACTGTTTTTTAATTCTAAGTCTATTTAAGGTCTATTCTGTCACTAAATTAACACATGAATTGCAATCGTCTTCCATTTTTTTAAATGTGAATTTCCGAAACTTATTATGAACTAATAAAAGAAATGTGAAGATGATTGCAACAATAAAAATTAAAAAATAGCGCTTTTCTCTCATTTCCTGTAAATGTTGCTTTCTACTGACCCGAAACTATTCATTACTTAGCCTGTGTTCTTGACAATAGGATAACTGTTTTTCAATTAGGGTTTTGCTCTATTTCTGTTTGAATTCTTTAGGATCCTTTGTCCTAGATCATCTTGTTGTTCCAAAAAGATAATGATTTCCATTCTCTAACGTGTCCCAATGCCTTAACGCATTAGGCCTCACGTCAACTTGATGCGTCAACAGTGACGAACGTCGCGCGACAAATAATTGCGGAAAACGTCACAAGTATTGACGACAGAATTCCAACTCATTGTTTCTGTTGCATATTTTACGCATCTTGTAGACGGCGAATCCTTCTTCTTTAAAACACTGTATAAATATATAACGTATGCGTAAAATGTACTGTAATGAAGTAAGTGGAGGATTCAAGACATTGCCTTCAAGTGTAAAAGATTTGAGAAACGATGAAGAATAATTCAACCTCTACTTCACATCTCCTGAAGTTTGAAAGAACAGCGTAGCCATGTTTTTGTTTTACACTGCCTACCTATTTCTTAGCATGCCTACCTACTTTAGCATCGCAAACTGTGGATGATGGTGTTAACTTTTTTCCATCAATAAATAAAGATATTGCCTGTAGTTAAGTACAATTTTTAAGTGATATAAAAGCGCGTGTGTAATAAAAGTAGCCATTTATTCTCATTTGAGTTTTATAAAACAACTAAGTTACTTCGTTTTTAAACTATTTGACATTAGTCCATGGCACAGACCTCCTTATATCAAATTATTAACATCCGTCTAAAACTTTGTAAATAGCTTCATCCCATCGTAACCTTCAAATATTTTATTTGCGAAAATTCTCGGAATTGGGGGTGTTTTAAATCTGAAGATTGACAAACTTTGACTATTTAACTATGTACTAAAAGCTCATGAATGCCGATTTACTTTTCACTTAAATCGTAAGATAGATAATATAATCACAAAGTCGAAAACAAATGTGGCCTATAAAAATATTGGACAATTTGGCGTCCTCTTCACCCCCAAAACGTCAAAATAACGAGATTGTATAAGCGAAACGGACCAATAATTTTGTAGGCCACCATTTTTTTTTTTTTTTTTTTTTTTTCGATTTGTGATCATATTATCTAACCATTCAAGTGTGAAAGCAAATGGATATTCAGAGTTTTTGACATATTAGTCGAAGTTTTAAAAGAATGTTGAACTTTGACCTTTAAATTGGTGAAAGATTTATATCAATGTTAACTGGACAATCCTACTCTAAGAAGAAATGATTTGTCAATTTGAAATTAATGTTAGATTTTTAATCGAGTTTTAATGTGTGATTGACCATATATTGAAAAATAATTAGTTAGGATATTAATCAGAAATACTGAAAATTATTAGCAAAATCATAATATTAGTAACCCTAAACAACAAATATTTAAATTGCCTGAAAAGGTGTAATTGATTATTTTTAATAGAAAACTGCTAACTAAAATTTTCACATTCATTTCACACTAAAACTGTGTCTGACTAGTTAAATAGAATTGACAAAGACAATTCAGTCCAGATCCTTTGTCCTAGATCATTGATTTTCAATTATTAAAATAGCTTCCTTCCCTTGGCAATGGCCTAAGGGCTGAAACATTGATGCAAAAAAAACAAACAAATAAAGTAGGAATATAGTGATCAAATATGTGGTTTTATTATTACTATCAAATATAATAGTTATTACAAGATTTTGTGGGAAAAATAATTATCGATTTGAAACCCTTGTTGAAATATCTATTTTTGTTTTTGAAAAATAATTTGAAACCTCTTCAACACGTGGCTGCCACAATGTGAACTAATACATTACTTCTTCATCTGCATTGCTAAATAGGCTCGGTATATTTATTCTTTGCCAAACACACTTTTACGTTGCTCTGTTTTTTTCCCCTACTGATCATACTTTGAGAATTATTTAATTCACCTTATCAGTGTTTCTTTTACTCAATCTTTTCAAAATAACTTTCTTTCTAATAATAGAATATAAATCTTATTAAATTGACATACATTATACAAATTATTGTTATTTTTTTTTATAATTTGCCTACTATTCCTTTGTTAATACATACCTACTATCTTGGATATTATTTTTTAACATACTGTTCAAGAATATATTTAACATTATCTAATCTTTATTATTATTTTAAAAATCAGTGTTGAGCTTCATGCCTTTACAAGACATACCTTACATTGAATTCCCCCCTCCCCCCCCACATCCCAAGCATTCCATTCCTTTCACATGTTTTATGACAGGCTTTCTAGAAAAATTTAGTTACTAAATTTTGTGATGAGGGTAGTTAAACTTTAGAAACCTCATCCTAATACTCGCAAAAGAACTTTATTTAAAACTATTGAATTATATCGGAAAACATTTGAAATAAAATGTCATTCAAGAATTGATACCAAAAATTCTGATTATAATTAAATGTGTTTTTTAACATATTTCAATTCCCTTATAGATGATGGTGAAGCGATAACATCGGTGAGATGGAATGAGGAAATGGAGGCGGCATTGTTGTTCGATGCCCAAAAACAAATGCCTGGGCTTGGCGACAAAGGGGAAGCTGTTACTTTGGCTCCTTTAGAGGAGCAAAAAGCTGAAGCTGTGATGAAGAAAGAAGGTTTCAATCTAATCCTCAGCGACAAGATTATGTACAATAGAACTATATTAGACGCAAGGCATCCAGAGTAAATATTTTTTAATACTTTTCTACTTCTATTCATGATTATTTTTTACTTTGTTGACTTCTGTATTTGTTTTAATCTTAAAGATTAATGTGTTAATCAGTGACTGTTGAAAGACCCAAAAGTTATTTTTCTTTATCTACTAGCATAATGAAAAATTAACTGAAAGTATATTCAAGTAAAAACTTCACCCCTTTCAGTTTTATCTCCACTTTTTCTATTAACTTTCTTTAGTTATGAACATTATTTATATAGTATTTGTAATAATAACATTTAACTAAAAAAAAAAAAAAAAAAAAAAAAAAAAAATTCTAACTTATTAAGGGAGCACATCAAAATATCATTCATAACTATCATTGATATATAGTTTTTTTCCTTTATGAAGTTATTCAGGTTAGGCATTGTTGTGATAATGTTAATTTGTTTAGTTTATTAATCTTCATAATTTATTTACTTTATCTTAAACAATGTTTAAGAAACAAAATATCCTGTTATCAGAGACTAACATTAGACTTTTTCTTTTTCATATAAGTATAGATTAAATAACATATTAAAAATAATTATGTACCACATTAATTTTTTTTAATTCAGAGCCAAAGCTTTATCATTTGATATCTATAAGTTTTTACATGTCAAATATTTGTCTTTCTTTTTACTTATTAAAGTAGTATAAAGAAAATTAGATCTTAAACACCCTTTTCTTTTGATTCAACCTTCATCCTGTTGGTCTAACTAACCCCAATTGACAATATTTCAAAAGAAAATTATACAAATGCAAGATGAAATTAATATTAAGGTTAAAAGTTTCATGTATCCTCAAATATGTCATATATTCTTGATATTTATAATATTTAATGTTATCATTTTTTATTCTTTAGATGCTTAAAAATGAAATATCCTGAAGATCTACCCTCCGCTAGTGTTATCATAGTATTTACCAATGAAAGGTGGTCCTCCCTGATAAGAACAATCCACAGCGTCTTTAATAGATCTCCTAAGCATTTATTGAAGGAATTAATACTTGTTGATGATGCAAGTGATCATGGTATGAAAGCATTTATGTTTCGCTTTTATTTTATGTTTAAGAAAAATGTATTTATTCATGTGAATTATTTAAATTGATTCATTTATTGTTGATTTGTGATTTAAAGGAATATATTGGATTAAGAATTACTTTAATTGGGTAAAATAATTTCTAACATAAAGAGAACAGATCTATATTAAATTTAAAATTACCAATAAGAAGAATGTAGTTTAATCTTATTGTTGTACAATTGATTTTCAGTATTTTATGACCATTTTTTATTTTAGAGGAGTTGCAAGAAAAATTAGAGTATTACATAGCAACCAGGCTTCCCAAAAAAATTACTCTTGTTAGGTTGCCTAAAAGGTCAGGTTTGATAAAGGCAAGGCTTGAAGGAGCGAAACAGGCTAAGGGAGCTGTTCTAGTTTTTTTGGATGCTCACTGCGAAGTAGGAATTGATTGGCAAGTATATATTTATACGTTATGATCAAAGCAAAACAAATTTTCTGACAATTTGATATCTCTAGAAAAAAAATGTTATTTTTTCATCTACTATTAGTGTAAATGTTTCCAAATCTCTTTTAAAAATTAATGAAAATTCCATAACCATGTTTATAATGATAGCTTATTTTGAACAAACAGAGAATGCCTATGAATATTTTAAAAAATTGAACATTGAATATATTAAAGATAACGCTAATTTGATGCTGATTGTATTATCTGTAAACATGACTTCTATTGAATAAATTAAAAATATTTATACCAAGATGGTTGGAGGTTTAGTCAAAAATAAAACATGAAGTAAGATAATTTACTGTTTTAATGTGCCCTGTTGTTATATAAACAAATATGGTTAGCTTCATTAGCCTAAAGTAATGTGTATTACCTCAATATGCCTTTCATTTCCTAATGCACTCTAGCTATCTTCTTGATTTAATCCTGGGGTATCCGAACTTTTTAGCCCGCATGCCACATTGATACCTCCACTAAGTCCCATAGGCCATAACGAAACCTGCGGGCCACAGGTTGTGATGAAAAAAAAATTATTGTTTTATAATGACCTTTCTAAGAGAAAAAAATCATGCAATAAATGTTGTAGTAACCTCTTTTGTGCGTAATTTGCTAAATTTCATACTTTTTTAATAGTTCTTAAATTTCACCATGCAATCAAAGAAACGTTCAAACGTCTTTTCAGATTGCTGTAGTATTAATGCTAATTATTCATATTGTATATTTTAATGGTAAATGAATATTCTCTTCTCTTATTAATGATCAGGATATATCTAATGGATTCCAAAATAATCCATCAATAATGTTTTGATAATAATTAAAAATATTATTTTATTTTATTTCTAGGTTACAACCTCTCCTCGCAAGGATAAAAGAATCAAGAAAGTCAGTTGTTGTTCCGATTATTGATGTGATCCATGATAAAACTTTTGAATATCAAAACAATGGTGGCTCATTTGACTTTGAACTTGGTGGATTCACATGGAGTGGGCATTTCACATGGATACCAATATCACAAGAAGAGGAACGTAGACGTGGCAGCCCTTCTTCCCCAACAAGGTGGTTTATTTTAAAAATGATTAAACCTTTTATTTTCAAGTTAATGATATTGAGCTTATTATATTAATTAATTTACAATCTAAGTGAAGTCATTGCCAAGCTAATCGTTACATCAATCAGTATCACAAATTCTTAATTGATAGATATTAAATATTATTTTGTTGTCAGTTTCAACAATTCATTACTAATTTCAGAATCATAACAATAAAGAAACATTTGGTTATAATTTGTATTTTTGAGTAACGTTAACTGAAAGGGGAAATTGCTCAAATTTTATTCCTTTAATATTTCTGTAACCATTTTTTTTACCACAAGAAATATATAAAACTATTTTTGTAGTGATTTTGAAGATCGATCATTAATATTTGCAAAATTTTTGATATGTTTTCATGTTTTTGTCCATCTTCCTCTCCCTCCATTAAAACCCATTGTGGTAAACTCTGGGAATTTCACCAGCGACTACAGAAAGGATTTACAATTACATTTTTGAATTTTGAGTTAATCATTAAATATTTTATACATCATTAATTATAAACTGTTTTAAACTAAATTTATCTAATTTTAAAATTTAGTTTTAACTTCTTTCAATTATGCTTCTATTGGGTTGTCCGGAAAATAATGCAGGATTTTGGTTTAAAAAGAAAGATTTACAACTATTTTATTTAATCAAAATATTCTTCACTGCTATCAATACATTTCTACCAATATGTTGACAACTTTTCCAGTCCCTCGGAATAGAATTTTTCATCTTTTGAATTAATAAACTCCAAAAACGCATTTTCTGATTCTCTTTACCGTTTACATTTTTTTTCACGTTAGTAGTAGTTCAGATGTCTAAAAAATTATAATATGTAAACGAGAGGTCCAGAGAGTAGGACGGATGTGGCAGGTTTTCATATCAAAGCTCCAACAGTTTTTGTGACATCACACATGAGACATGTGGCAGGGCGTTGTTAAATAACAAAATTGGCTCCTTCCGATTGACCAAAGATGTAATGTAATCATTATTGCCAATTCCTGATGCATTGCATGAATTTGGTTGCAATATGATTCAGCATTGATGGTTTCTCCAAGATTTAAGAAGCTGTAGTATATCATACCAAATGAAGCCCATGAGTTGAATATTTTGGAAATTGTTCTGTTGCTTCTCTGCCGCACCACTGTCCAGAACATCTACTGTTATCATAAAGTATCCGCTTTTCACCACAAGTAATAATTCTGGACAGAAAAGGGTCATTTTTGTTTTGGCAAAGAAGTGTAGCACAAACTTCATAATGCTGGTTTTTTTCGTGGTTGTTTAGTGCGTGTGGAAGCTTTAACTTTAACTTAATCAACTTTTAAGAGTTTTTACCTTTCCAATCGCCTTGAGGTCATCATTGATCGTTGATTTGCTAAGATTAAGTTTCCCTGCAAGTTCTCGAACACTTGTTCTGGTGTTTACTTTCACCAAGCCTGCAGAACATCGTCATCAAGAGAGGAAGTCCTTTCATGACCTTCTTTGTGTTCAAGGCTGAAGGCTTCAAGGCTCTCGCTCGGGAAATTTTTTGAATCATTGTTGGCCTAGACTTGATTGAGGTTTCTGGCCGTCTGAACCCGATTTCTGTAATGTAAAATGTAAACAGTTTGTTATATAGGTATTATTAAGATGTAGGTTATATTTAGTTATTATTAAGATGTTCAACCTGTGTCCTTAATCCAATCCTATTATTTGCAGACAATTTAGCCATAATCTGTCGTTCTAAAAACATTGCCACCATAAAATATAAACTACAGGATGTAATAAACAGAATCAATAACTGGTCTCTGTCCACTGGTCTTCAATTATCTGCCGAAAAAAGTAAATGCCTCCATTTCAGTAAGATGAGAAACAATCCCTCCTCTATATACTCCCATATACAGACAAAAATCGTTTTTTGGATATGGCCATGGACCGAAGGTTCACCTGGAAGTCGTACGTTTCAACATTGAAATCTACCTCCACAAAAAGATTAAATATACTGAGATATCTTAGCGGCACCTCCTGTGGCTTTTGACAGATCCACCCTACTAAAACATTATCGCGTTTTAATATGTTCAAAACGGGATTATGGGTGCTTCTTCTACGGTTAGGCTTATTATTGTGCATTAAGTACACTAGATGCTATGTATCATACCGCTATTCGAATTGCGACTGGCGCGTTTCGAACCAGTCTTCTTCTCAATTTGTGTTCTGAAGCAGGAATGCTCCCTCTTTTATTTAGAAGAAACAAACTAGCAGTTAATTACATATCTAAAGTTCTCCTTCAATCGGACCACCTTACACATAAATACATATTCAAACCAAAGCTTTTGAAAAAAAAACTGAAATCAACGTTTCCATTATCAGAGTGAGTAATTTCAGCTACTGCATTCCTCAGAGGAATTCCTCAAATCGAGCCTGAAATTCACAACCTCCCTTGGATTAACAAACCACCTAAAATAATCCTAAACCTAACTCAATTACACAAAGCAAAATCTTCACACTTCCTTCAAAAAATATCAGAACTATATTTAATCTATACTGATGTATCTAAATTGGATGAATCCACAGCATCTTCTTTTATCACCCATAATTTGACTAATAACTAACTCTCTAAGTTCTTTAAAAGGAATGAATAATTTATACCTGAAACATCCAACCATCTTAAAAATTCATAAATATCCAAATATACTAGAAGCTCTAGGAAAATTGGTATACTTTATTTGGATACCGAGCCACATGGGAATCATTGGAAATGAGCTTGTGGATGTAGCAGCGAAACAAGCGCTTACCCTTCCAGGCCAGGGTGCTGCCATTTTAAAACCACAAGATATAAGTCTTCCCCTTATAAAAGAAATAATTCATAGCTGGTGATCTATGTGAATGAGAGTCCGCCAAGAAAATTAAAAAAACAATACAGCTGTGGTCAACGTTGAATCGCCTTATCCGGACAAAAGAAGTTGTCTTAATCAGACTAAGAATAGGCCACACAAATCTTACCCATTCACATCTCATTAGTAAGCAGCCACCATCACAATGCCAACACTGCAATAATATACTTACAGTCAGTCACATGTTGCATGAATGTTCTTTTTACAGATCAAATCTTGTAGGGCTTACACCACCAATATCAAAAATTTTAAGTGATGACAAAGACACTATAAAGTTAGTGTTAGATTTCTTAAAATCAAACAATTTGTTAAATACAATTTAAAATTTTTTAAAAATTTAATCTAAAGATAAATAAGATTAGCTTACAGACGTTGATGACCTAAATGTTTTACGCCTTTAAAACCCCAGCAAACAAACAAACAACAAATCTTATCATTTTATAATGTTTTAGGAAGGCTGATACATTCATTTAGTATCTTATATTGCACTTAATTATTGGATTACACCTAAACTTTTTATTACAATGCTTCTAAAGGTGTATTAAATTTAGAGTTATTTTAATAAATTTATAGTTTTTAGAGAATAGATGTGATTTAGGACATGATGAATTACTTAATTATATAATTACAAAACTATTTTTATAAAAATTAGCTTTAATTGTAGTCTATGTTAAAAAAGTTTGTCTTCTTACATTTAGTTTTCAATGTTTAGAACTCCAACCATGGCTGGTGGTTTGTTGGCAATTGAAACGAAATATTTTTGGGAAATTGGGTCATACGACCCTGATATGGACATCTGGGGAGGAGAAAATTTGGAAATGTCTTTCAGAGTAAGATAATTTTATTGATTTTGTTTTTTATTAGAGAAATTTATTAGAGCCAATAATGTATCTTATTCCTAATACATTTATATTTTGGAGTATTATAGTTTAGATTTTTATATGAAGTGAAATATGAAGCAATTATGCTAATCTCAACTTTTCTGTAGTTCAAACTGCTCTTTCACTTAAATCTGGCTTAAAAAAGCATAATCGCGTAAAAAAAAAAAAAAAAAATTATAGCTTTAAACTTCCTACTCAGTAAAATTGTATTATAAATATCTAAGTAAGGACTGAATGTCAGCCTAGCCAAGATAAACGTTTGCATCTTCACAAAGAAGAAAAAGGTAGAAGTAAGACTACCTGAAATAACCAATATCCAGCTAAAAGTAAGGAAAGAGGTAAAACACTTAGCTGTTATACTGGACAATCAAATTATGTGGAAAGACATGTGGAGTACACAACTAATAAAGCTCTAAATTGTCTTTGAGCATATAAGAATGCTGTTGGGAAGGCATGGGGACTTAAACCTCGGATGGTTTACTGTCTGTATGTCACAGTGGTTAGACCTGTGCTTCTATATTTAAATGCTGTATGGTGGCATAGGGCAATAGTGGGCCACAACAGAATACAATTGGAACAATTTCAGAGATTAACCTGTTTAATGATAACAGGTGCAATTAAAATTACTCTGACTGCAGCCATGGAAATAATGTTAGATCTATTATCTCTGCAATTGGAGATTGAAAAGCAGGCATTGAAAACTTTTTACAGGCTACAAAAATTAAACTTATGTTCAAAGACAAGTACCCTGGAGGGACATTGCAAAATATTTTAAAAAATTGAGGCAGACAGGCTGCTCACAATGCATTCTGACCCTCAGATTAGAGAATATTCTACAAAGACGCATAATGTAAAAACAGACAGCTCAGGAAAACACAAACCCATTATTGGGATTAATTGTTATACTGATGGGTCATTTATGACGTGCGTATCTGGTGCTGGTTTTTGGAGAAAAGATGAACCAGAGGCAGGCATGTCTATACCACTTGGAAATTATGCGAGTGTTTCAATCTGAAATACTGGCGAAAGTCACTGTGCCTCAAAAATGTTGTTTGACAGGTTAGCTGGAAAAAAAATTTCAATATATACTGGTCAACTATACAACTAGGTCTAAGGCTGTTGAAGATTGTGTGAGAATTCTTAATGACTTATCCAGATTTAATAAGGTAAACATTGAATGGGTTCTGGGTCACTCTGGAATTCATGCTAAAGAGATGGCGGATGAACTCGCCAGACTAGGCTCACAAAAGATTCCCATAGCTCCTGAACCCATCTGTGGAATTAGTCAGTGTCTAATAAAGAACAGAATCAGGGAGATTTATGGTGAAAAACAGACTCACTCTAGATTGTTCCTGGAAGGAATCTGTCATAAAAGAAGCAACTTACAAGTTAATCTGAGCAGGAGCCTGATTAAGAAAATTACATTGGTATATACTGAACACTGTAAACTGAATTATCACATGTTCAATCTCATGCTCACTTGTTGGTGTAACAAGTTTGCTGGATTAAGATTCCGACTATTCAGCATTGATAGGATGATTGATTCCAAGGCAAATGAGCTTATCGATCCTACAGCTTATTACAGTTCACTGTGGCTGCAGGAATTACACTCTAAATAGGAGTGACTTTAATAGAGGTGTATAATAGGTCTTGAATGGATGACCGCAGTGCATTCATGTCGCTTTGTAGAGTTTTGGGTATACTGTATACTATACCCTCTTCAGGGCCCAGGTTCAAGTCTGCGTTTGGCAAATAATTATTTATTCTGTTAAATCAGCCCTAGGATATGGACATCTTCAGGTGCTCATCACAGCATCTATGAAGTGGGTGCTCTCACACAGGATCAAATACCAACCTAGAACATCTCCCTGGACTAACATTGATCTAGAAACAAGTGCTGGGCCTAAGAACCTTTTAGTACTAATGTGTAACAATTTTGTCATAGAAATAACAATCGGTTTATGAATTAATCTATGATATTGAAAGTATTAAAACAAACAAAAAAAAAAAAATGTTTAAAAAACAAAACACTCACAGTGGTATGTGGTATATTTGACAAGGTAGCTGTTTTAAATCATACGGAGGGAGAAGGTTTTCCCTTCCTTTTCTATTTGACCTAAGTTCTACCCACAAGGTTGTTTCTTAAGTTGTTTGCTTATTTTTTTTTTTTTTAATATTAAAATTTACTTAAAACTATTTTCCATGATTTCAGGTATGGCAGTGTGGTGGATACCTAGAAACAATACCTTGCTCTCGTGTTGGACATATTTTTAGAAATTTTCATCCTTATACATTCCCAGGTAATAAAGATACACATGGTATCAATACAGCTAGGATGGCCAAAGTTTGGATGGATGATTATAAAAGGCTTTTCTTTAAACATCGACCAGAGTTGGAGGTATGTTTTTCCTTAAATGTTAATTCTAAAATGTAATCTAAATTCTGCAATCTTTAACTACTAACGAATAATACAGTATAATTCTAGACTCATTATTTCACCTCTTTTCATGAATTAGATTATGTTTAATGTTTCATATTTTGCCTACAAATGCTTACTCATTTGTGTTCTGAATGTGTTTATTTCATTCGTCCACCCTGTGTAGACAATTTTTTCATCTAATAGCAATTCTTCACTACCTATGATTGTAGTGACTGTTATTGACTGTTATTCGAATATAAATGTCACAACCATAAATGTGAAGAACCTGTGAACCCAAGTATCTTCCTGTCTGTTGTATGTTGATTGTTTAAGACTCTTAAAAAAGAAAATAAAAGCTGATGACAATCTCTTCAAACAGTTAAGATTAAGAATATTCACATTCGTCACATATGGGAGTGATAATCAGCAAATGCGATCGAGAAAATTATAGTTATGGGATTATAAGCATCGGGAAGGTAGTACCTAGCGGCATCTCCACCTGGTTTTAAAATATTTGAATACTTTTTTTAGATTTTTCTCAAATAAGTGGTAATTGTTCTTCTATGAATTTCAAACTGTAGGTGAGAAATCATGAAATAATTCTTTACCAAGTGCAGAACCCTAGATTATTGTTTTTTTTTTTTTTTTTGCATATGCTAGATATATTCAAGTTTATAGTATTGATTTCTATTTCCTGCAGGATATAGATATTGGAAATATTACTGGAAGAATTGAACTTAGAAAAAAATTGAAGTGTAAAGATTTTAAATGGTATTTAACTCATGTTTACAAGAATAAGTTTGTACTTGATGAAAATGTTCAGGCATATGGCAGGGTAGGTATTAATATTGCAATTGTGAAATAGTTAAGTTTTTATGTTTGCTTTGTAAAGTATGTAATGTATTCAATTTTTAGGTTATGACACATGCCAATCGGTTGTGCCTTGACAATTTACAAAACTCAGAAGAGGATAAGCATCCCTTAGGTATCTACTCCTGTCACAATGAACTTTATATGAGTCAGGTTTGTAAAGTTAACCATGATTCATTTTTATAAAGTTAACCATCTTGCTTTTAATTTGTTTCAATATATTTTTCGTTTTATATATATTGGATTCATTTGATTTGGTTAGTTGTTTTGATATTTAAGCCGCATAACATCTAGGTTTACAGTGTCCAATTAATAAAATAATACCAATATTAAAAGAGGATTCATTTGATTAACAATATTGTATTAGGTTCAACTTTTACTAAACAGAATTTCTTCTTTTAATTGGAGCTCATGCTTGAGCATATCCTCAGATGAGGTTAATTGTTACTCTATTTTTTCTAGTAATTAGGAGAGTTATAACATGGGTATATTCCATAGAAAAGTATTTAAGGTTTATTACAATCTATAGGCAAGATCATATATTCGTATAATATATTCGTAAACTGCATTATTTATTGAGTAGGTTGATGAGATTTCTGATAATTGTATCGGGAAATAGATAGTATTTTAACGTGCTTTGAATTTTTATACCATATCCTTTTCAAGATTCATTTTTTCATAAAAAAAACTTGCAAAGTATTAGTGTACTTATAAATTATTATAGTGATGTGTTTCTTTGCATGTTTATCACTTTAAATGTATGCAATTATTATTGTTTTCATATTTTCTTCTGGCAAAGTTTTAATCAACTTGAAAATATCTAAATATTTATTTCCAATTTTAGTTCTTTTCACTAAGTAATGCTGGTGAATTGAGAAGAGAATTCGTGTGTGCCGAAGTTAGTACTGCCAAGATGGAAGTTGAAATGTACAAATGTCATGGAGGTCACAACCAAAAATGGACTTACACATCGGTAAGGAATTCTTCTTATTAAAATAATACCCCCAATCATACAATTCTTTTTATCATGAATTTATGTTTGTTGTTTATAGTCTTTGGATTTTTTTTTTTAATTTGCCAGAAAACTAGTAGTGATATCTTTAACTGCTCCAAAAAAAAAAAAAGTTCACTTGGCTTGAAGAAGGCGAAGGCCTTCATCTAGATTATGTTTAAAATGTATTGCATAGTATATTAATGCTGACTTGTTTTGTTTTCAGAACCATGCTCTCATGCACATTGACACACGGCTCTGCTTAGATTCCGAAGGTACATGGTCTGGAAAGTTTGTTAAAGTTTCACCCTGCAACAATTCAAAAACTCAGAAATGGTCTTGGGAGTTCCTCACATAGTATAAAATCCTCTTTTCTTACTATCTTCCTTTGTGATCTTCGATGATATAATGAATTGTGATAATATTTGTTGTAATGATGTCAAGAACTTTATTTTCTCGAGGAAAATATTTATATTTTTTAATAAGTCGGCTGACCTTGACACATTTCATCGTTAGTTTTATGAAAGATCTTACTTTAGTAAATAAAAATAAAAAAAATCGTAGGACAATAGAATAAGAGGGAGAATTTTCGGAAAAATATATTTTTATACATCTTAGAGGAAATCGAAGAATAAAACAATATGTTGATGAAATTGAAGGCATACAGAAACTTAATTTGTGTTGAGAAAAATTTTCTGAAGAGAGTAAACAAAATGAACATTAAGAAATTCTTTTTTTTAGTTTTATAACTTCAAGAATAACTGTAATGTTCCTGAAAATATATTGTGTCATATCCTAAATGTAATCTATTCAATGTTTAAAAGATTTAATTGTTTATCTTTTATTCTAATTAAATTGGTTACAATTTCTTGATGAAGGATATATTTATATTTTATTAATAACTGCATTTATTTTTATTATCTATTACCTAGTTATATCACACGAAATTCATCGGCTGTTTTGTATTACAATTATGAAACATTGATAGATGCAATATAATTTTATTATTTTGCCAAAGGATCTTTGGCTCTTATGTAGTCTTCCAATAATTTTTTTTAAAAATGAGATGAGTACTGGAAAACATTGAATTATCATATTGCTAAGTATTCAGCTTTTTATAAAATAGTTCAAGTCTAGAATACTAGTAAATAGTCCTTTGGTTGGGCTGGTTGTTAATGAAGAACTTGAATAGTCAGTACAATTTATATATTGTAGTACATAAATAATAATTATGTTAGAGAAAAGGTTCATACTTACATTTCTAAATTAAAATTATACTCTAATTATTACTTTGTCAATTAATGAATTGTTGAATTAATTCATATTTTATTAATATCACCTCCAAAACTGACATTTTGTGTGATATAATTTTTTTTATAAATACAAATGATACATTCCATGGAAAATTTCATTTTTGCTTATGGTTGTGTATAATAGTGATACAATTTTTTGAGATTTTTTATATAACAAAAAAGAAAAAAAAAGATTTTTATCTTTAATTAGCATTTATGGAATTATATAAAAAAAAGATTTTTTAAAAAGTTGTTTTATTTTTATATTATTTGTTTGTTGCATTTCATAGTTTACTTAAATTGTAATATTTGTTTATATTACCTCCACAAATGTGTTTTTCTTAGGATTTTATTGTACTATTGTATATATTTGTAAGGATTTTGTGAGCCAATATATTTTCAATAATTTTGAAAATGTAATTCAGCTTTTTAAAAGACATGTTTCAGTTAAGCACTAATTTTAAATTTAAATTTAAGTTGTATAAATTTTTAGTTTTTAATAATATACTGCAATTATGGAACAGACTGCAAAATAAATAATATAACTCCAAAAGAGTATTAGGGAAGAAAGGCAGTTTTCAAATATTAAATAGTTTGAATTATTTTAACTTTACAAATGATTCAACATTTTTTTTTTTAAACACGTTGGCAATTCTAATAGTTTGATAAAAGGCAAACAGTTGGATAATCAATAATGTTGTGATGTTGCAATGATCTGGTTTAAAAAAAAGTTCACCTTATCATTTGTGTAATATTTGTAATATAGCCCAGCAATGTAATTTTAATTTTTCATTATGTCAAATATTATGTGGCTCATATACTTCACTGCTAAATTCCAAACTACTGTTTATTTTCATTTACCTGTATATGAAATATATAGTAAGGGAAAGTAATGCCATCGTGAACATTTTCAAATCCAAGCTTTCAACCAATGTATTAGTAACAGTTTGATCTAAAAAGCAATGTTTCATAATCCAACAGGAATGGGGCGGGGTGGTCAAGCGTGCTAATATGTGTGCACAGCATTACGTTGCCCGGCAAGCTGATGATAGATAAAATAACTACCAGTTCATGTCCCTTTCAACTTTGGCATTAATCCCCTGGCCCGGAAAAACCTTGGATAGCCTAAAAGGCAAGGAAGGAGAAGACAGAAAAAAAAATATAATAAAATCCAACAATAAAGAGGTTGTGATGGTTTGGCGTGTCATAAACTTTAACATTCTTAGTGACACCAGTTCGATTCTGGCCTGGATGGATTGAAGTTTATTTTGTGGAGCACACACAGAATGAATTTCAACCTTCTCACTTTGTTTAGAATAGGTTTGGTTTTACCTTTAGAACAAAGGTATACCAACTAGAATATTAAATTTATCATTTTAATCTAGCCTTGAGGATAATAATTTTTTTTGATAATGCTGAAATATTTTGAGTTTTATCTTTGTACAAAATAAAATGAAGGAAAGACTGAGCTACCTAACAAATTTTTAGTTGTTTGCTTAAGGAGAGAAAAATAATTATAAAATTATTGTTGTATAAAAATCCCTCATTTTAATATCAACATAAAAATACTTATTTATTTTTATTTTTTACATGCCACCAGTTATTCGATTTTTTACTGTAATTAGATATACATTTTTGTGATAAAATTGGAGAATTACTTTCTTAAATTTTGAGACCTTCCTTTTTATATTTATTCTATGGTATTTGAAAAAAAAAGTATTTTCTTTAAACCCCTAAATTTAATAGGAGAAAATGTTTTTTGCCGTTTTTGTAAGTAAAAGTAATCCAAAATTTTGAAACCATATTTCGTTTGTGATATCGCTTACATTTTTCAATAAAGCCATATTTATAATGGAAAATTAAATCATTTCAACTTAATCAATAATGAATAATTATGAAAACCATGAATGATTGGACCAAAAATGTATTAATGTGATTATTTCTTACGAATGACCTTTAGTTGAGCCAAATGTCAGAATAAAAATGTTTTATTTTACCCACCAGGATTACACATTTTTTATATGTTATCTTTTTAACCTTTAAAACAATATCGTTTCTTAAATTAGTAGATACAGACACTCCACGACAGGGAGAGGTCAAAGACGTCTGCAGTCCTTTAATCAGCATAGTCAGCTTTTATTTTTAATATAAACTTTTTAAATAAAATATAATATATAATAATTATATAATATCTTAAATTATGTAATATTTTTGTTACATACATTATAAAGGACAAAGTTTGGTTTCAGTGCTTAATTTAATATTTGAAGGGAGCCCAGGACAATTTGTCTCTTGGTTTCTCTCAGGGCCCTTACTAAATAATATCATAATATGCTTGCAATGCATTGCCCGTAATGCAGATATTATAGAAATGATATATCATATTAAAATTTGGAAAGCTTCACTGTTATCATCACATTACTATATAACTATAGTTTGAACAGAAAATTTCTTTATTAGACTTAAAATATATACATATTTTAAAATTGTATGTATAAAATATTACTTAATTGTTTAATTTCATTTGAGTATCATGTTCCTTGTTCACATAGTCTTCCATAAGCAGGCAATTGTATAGTTTATATTTTTATGATATATTATGATTATTGCACATTGTAAATGAAATAAGACTGTTAAAATTTATATGTTATTTTCTAAAATGATGTTTGTTGTTTCTATTTAAATTTTTTGTGTTCGGGTTATTTTTATAGAAGTAATATAAAAAAACAGTTATATTTTAATGCTTTTGTTTTCGAGTTTTATACATTCATAAAAAAACTTATTAATAAATTGTTTTGTTGATTGATTAGTTAGAAAATTAAAGGTATGTTTATCTACCTTATTTTTAAATGTAAACGATTTACAATATTGTTTGAAGTGTTCCAACTTATGTAATATATTTTTAATTTGTTTTTGCTCAGATCTTATTTAGATTCATTATTTAAACATCTCTTTTCCTATAGTTTCATACATCTTGTAACTTTTATCATATAACCCTTCTATACATTTAGTATAATTTAATGCTATCCATTTTAATTCGAAAAATAAATTTTATTTATTTCAATTCATGTAGTATCTGACATCATGCAGGTTACTGGAGATCATTGTTACTTTAAATTAATATTCTGGTGACCTTTACAACTTTATCTGACAGATTATCAGAATGTGCTAGAAAAAAATAGTATAAAATAGCCAAATGATTCATTTTGTCATTCTTTCATTGGCTAAACAGTGCTAGCACAATTTCCTATGGTTCGCAATTAGACTAGTACTAAGAAATGAAAAATATTCTGATTCCAGAAGTGTGACCAACCTTTTCCAATGCCTGGGAAATGCTCTAATCCTTCATCAAGATTAGTATTGATGGAGTCCATGCATTATCCCTTTGGATTTTTACAGGATGATTTGTCAACACACAAAAAAATAAAAAGATGCCCAACTTCATCAACAGAATCTCTATGAATTTTTAAATGGATTAATATGATATTCAAATCACATAAGCCTAACTGTATAGTGAGTGAAAATAATTGTAAACGTGAAAAAAAAAACACTAATTTTAGATGTTTACTGAAAATACAAATATGACTAAAAAATAGTACATTGTTTTAATGATATGTACATATAGTTACATTCCTTATTTGATATGACTCCTACTATTAATTTTAAAAAACATTAAAGTTGCTGATTGGATACAAGGTATTTTTTCCTTTCTCGAAGTTAATATTTAATTTTTTCTGCCTTCCTTTGCTTCATATGAGAGTTAAAACTTTTCAATTTGTGGGGATTAAAAAATAAATAAAGTAGAGAATTGAGTTTTTTATTTTTAGATGATTGATGAGATTACATTGATAGTAGAATAGGCCAGTTTCGTTTTTTGTTACGAAAGTAAATCTTTTCGAAACCTACTTCATTGATATATGTAATACTTATATTACATTATATTATATTATAATATATTTATACTTTACATATGTTATTTAATAAATATCTACTTTAGTAATACATGTATAACAGACATACCATTAATATAAATTTATAAATAATTCCGAACATGAAACGAAATTATCTTATAATGTCCTCCCATTTATTTCCTTACATCAGTGAACTTTGATATATATATATATTACCTGACTTAAAAAACACGTTCCGTCTTTATAAAAAAAGTACCAAAATAGTCAATTGATTTTCATTACCCTACAGTATAAATCACAATAAATAATATCTACACATTGTTATCTTATTTAATAGTAAAACTAATTGAACAAAAAATTTATCTCAATTCTTTCAATTTTTAGCAATCTTGCATAAAACTCTATACTGTCAATTTCTCTTGCACATGTATGTGTTAAAAATGCATATTTCAATTTCCTGCATTCATTTTTTAATTATTTATTTAAATTTACTGCTGTATTACATAAATACAACAAATTAATTAATACACATAAATCAGAAATAATGACCAGACTTATCCAGATACTAAGGAATGGTACTTTCAGGATCCTGAAAATTTGCGAATCTTAGTTTTCAATGGAAATACATGTTTTGAGTTCCCTGAGTTTAAATAACCAAGTCCCACAAAAGTGCCCACAGAAGAAGAGGACAATCGCCAGAAAGATCTCCAGATTCTGGAAGCTAGGCCGAAACAAGAAGTAGATAGAACAGAAGAACTGCTAAATATGTGCACATCATGTTAACTAGTAGTAGTGTGTTATTATGCATTCATGCCTAATAACGCACTATCGCAAACACCCGTATTGCCATAGTGGCATGGGAGGATGGAATATATAAATAAATAATAGTCCCACAAAATGTTCTGTGTGTTAACAGTCTAGCTCAAAAACAAAAATTCGTTGGGAAGTGAAATTGCATATTTGAGGCTTTTATATGGTTGGGATGTTACAGCAACTTTTTCGTCAAAATCGGCTTACCAGCAGTGGAACTTTTTATCATGGACTTAACACATTTTTACGATTTTCTCGAAAACGGCTCTAACGGTTTTGTTTAAATTCATTATATCAGTGTAAAATTAAGCAGTTTTAAAAAAAATATAGGTTTTATTCTGTTTATGAAATATATAATAAGGGAGAGAATTACGATCGCGAAAATTTTCGAATCTGAGTTTTCAACGAAAATACATGTTTTGAGGTCTCGTGAGTCCAAATAACCAATGCATGTGTATGAA